TGATTGAGTATTGCTTTTAATTTTCGAAGATGCAGCCTTCTCCGAGAAACAATTTCTGAAACTGTTTGCAAAATGTCACTTGCACCTGTTTAAATTATGACTCCAAAAATCTATTATTACACTAGGTTTTCCGTCTATTCCCTCGTACGTAACGTTCAACCTAACCTAATGTCTTGTGTATAATTCAGATTCCGAAACGAACTTTCGTGATTGTTGCTCCGCGTAATTAACTTGTAACTCTATATATTCATCTCTCTTTCGCTCCTCCGCACTTTTGTATCGACCTGTCTCTTTCCCTCTCGGTCTGGTGGTTCCTTCAACATGAAAAGCTCGGCATAGACCTTAAGGCTTAAAAGCTCAACTCTGTGTTCTGTTCCAACTGACTGACTGAATACCGAATATGGAATACGGAATACGAAATACTTGACTCGAGAGAAATTATATTGTTGTGAGGGTAATGGTAACGGGTAAAGGTAACAGTGGTAATGGTAATGGTAATGGTGATACATACGAATAGACAAATATGTCGAAAAAGGGTAACTGATTTTTATTTAAAATTCAAAAGGTTAACAGAAACTAAACCATTTTAATATAAATTATTATTGAACGCAAACAAGTTTCGGAATCAAAAATATTCATTGAAATGATAAAAGAGTGTCTATTAATCAAGTGAGGTTTTTAGGGGGGAGGAGGGGTTGACCAAAAATCCCAAAATTTCACATGGGGGAGGAAGGGGTATAGTAAGATATAACGTGTATTTATTTTTTATCTGAACTTTTTTTTAAGAAAATCCAAACGTTTTCAAAAAAATCAAAAAATGTATATTGATGTTTGATGTGGAAGGGATTAATTTTGAATATCACCATGTATCACCAAGGGGGGAGAGAGGTCCGAAAATCCTTAAAAAATCGATCACGTGACTAATGGACGCCCCCTAATAAAGACTAAACCAAAATTTGAAACTTAAAATATGTATATTTTTATATTCCTAAGATGAAAGATGATATTTATAATTTTTACTGAATATGCGAAATGCACGTTTAGCACTAGCTGGATATTTTTTTTCTAATCCGCTTTTTTGGTAAAAAGCGAAAATATTAAAAAAATATATCTAAATAACTAGAATGGCATCGTGCCTTAAGGCAAATTGCTGGAATTTTCTGTACTAAAAATTAAAATGTTTAAAAAAACTTTAAATTTTTTGAAACCTGAAAAAAGCTGGACCTGCCTTTTTTATTGGATCTCAGAAAAGCCTGCATCTCTAAAAATTTCACCAGTTCTTCGTTTCATCAGTACAAATAAAATGTTTTTTGAATCAATCAAATCGGACGCTACGTTATCTCAAAAACTGAATTACCATTTTTGGCAGTTTTTGCTTCGTATCTTCGAAACGGCTAGACATGCCTTTGCCAAAAACGAATCAGCACGTCTCCCCATCAATACGAATAGAATACTTTTTGAATGATTCAAATTGGTGGACCCGTGTTCCCGAAATCGTCGACGGAAATTTGTATCCGAACACACAACCATTTTTTCTGAAGTATACCAAAATGTTCAGAAGACTTTGAAACCTAGAGATATATAAAAATTCTCATTTTCGATTTTTTTTGCTATTACTATAACTTATCCTACGCGAAGTTAATAAATTCTCAAATTGCTTTAAAGAAAATTACACTTTCACCTAGTTTATTGCTCGTCAGTAGTCATTTTTCTTATTTTCTAAATAGATATAACCAATAGTGTCCTTTTCTACTTCTCTATCTATATGCATTTAATTCGCTTGTCAGTAAAATCCCCTTTTTAACTTCTATCTAGATACATATTAATTTTGCTCTCAAGGAGAGTTTGTTCCTCCTTTTTTATTTAAAAATTTACGTAGGTCGTCAGTAGGATCCATTCTTGTTTTTTTTTCATTGAAATCGATATTTAATTCGCTCGTTAGTAGAATCCTTTTTACTCTTTTTATGCCAATCTATACATCTCTCAAATTGCACGATCGAATTAAATATTTGCCTTTTTTTGATCTAGTCATTTATTTATTAATTCATGATATTTAACTTTAACTATACTTTTGAAATTTCGGATTTACTCAAGTTTTGGTACTGGAATTTCTGTACATCACAAAAATCGAAAATTTCTTTTTATAAATTTAACACATATTCAAAAATTCTTTTTTTTACACCATATTATTATCAGTAGTAATAATTTTAATATCTTTATATCGTTTAAAGTAAACATAAGACTCATTGAATTTAATTTTGCTTAAAATTAACCCTAACAGAAATTTATTTTTTTGCTAAAAAAAATTCATTTGTTTAAACATCAATATTATAAATTCTAATTAAAATAGCTAAAATATACAGAAATAAAAGTTTTACAATTTAGCACGACTACTATTATACAAGAATTTTGAATTCTAAACAATATTACAAATCAAAATTAGAACTATATATAGAAATGTTAAGTAAGTATATGTAGATCAAATGTTAAGTAAAGCCCGGTGCACACGACGCCAGTATTCCTTGAAATATGATTTCTATCGTAACAGAATTTCTAGCGAGCAAGAATTTTGCGCCAGATTTTCACTTATTTTATGATTAATATTAATTTCGTACATTTTCAAATAGATTATTATAAATATATACTGTGAATTTCACAATTTATATTTTATAGGTCTAAAATACACTAATGCTTATAAGTGTACAAACAGAGAATTGTATGAATTGTAAACAAAAACATGTACGTATCGCATCTGATTAGAATTAAGTGAAATAATAATAATTAAAAGATAATAAAATGCTTCAGTTTAAGGGGCACAACTAGTGTGAAATTTTCAAACTGTAGTCGAATTTTCATATTTTTTCATATTTGGATAGGTTATACCTTTAAAAATAACATACCAAAATTTCAAATCGATATCTTAAATAGTTTTTGAGTCACAGCCATTTAAAGAGTATATATATAGTATATAGTATAACGATCATTTTATCTTTAAACGCGTTTTTCTCGAAACAGTATTTTTTGAATTTGCTGCAGCGATTACTCAAAAACAAATGATCCGATCACTATCAATTTTTTTTGTACATGTTTTATATATAGTTCTCCGTAAAATAAATTATCGATTTTTTGATAGGATCAAAAATCGAATTTTGGCAGTCCAAAAACTTTTTTATAAAAAACGCCGCCATTTAATCAATTTTTGATTTCTGTTTTATCATAGTTCATTTTACAGACAACATTATCTAGTTTAACGATTTTTTTTTGGATTTGATCCACGTAGAAGGCCGGAATCACTGCAGCAGTGAAAGGCCTTTTTTGTGCCGTTGGAGATCGACGATAACTTAAGATATAAGATAAGATATAATATAAGATATTTAGTTTTTTTCTTCAAAAATTTTGAGATGTGTTGATTAGTTTTTGGCAAAGGCAGGTCCAGCAATTACGGAGGTAAAGAGCAATGAGTGCAGAAAATTTAAATCTAGTTTTTGAGAGAACGGAGCATCCGATTTGAATGATCTAAAAACATTCAACTAGTAATGATTGGGAGAAGTGGTAATTAGTTTTTGGCAAAGGCAGGCCCAGCCCATTTCGAAGATACAGTGCTAAATGTGCAAAAAATGGCAGTTTTTGAGAGAACTAAGCGTCCGATTTAAATGATTCAAAGAACTTTCTGCTTGTTTTACCGAAACAATTGGTTTTGGAAAAAAATTCTTGTTTCAAATTTTTTTTTTGAAAAAAAAAATTTTTTTTTGTATATCGAAAATAATTCAGATTTTTATTTTAATTCTGTTCTAATATACTTTAAACAAATAATTTCAACTTTCCAATTCAGTTTATATAATTCTTATAAATATTAGACAATGTTACAATATTTATAGTAATCTATTTTAAAACATTTAATATTCCTCGATCATTTCGTTACGGTACGGGAAGTTCCAGCAATTTGCTTTAAGGCACGATGCCATACACCCAACTAATTTTTTTTTAATTTTGAGTATTTTTGCAAATTTCGAAATTTTTGAAATAAAACGATTTGAATTTTTTTGTAATTTTTTTGGAAATTTTGAATTTTTTTGATATTTCAGATAAAATTACGAAAATTTGAAAAAAAAAATGCGTATTTAAATTTTTTCGGAAATTTGAATATTTTAAAATTACTGAACTGCCTTTCCTAAACTAATCATTTATTCACGCCGCTATATATACACAATAGCTATTTACAAAATAAAAACTAAAGGCTTCCAAAATCGAAGTACATGAATCAAGTACGCATTGATATTTACGTGACAAAATACAGCTTTCCTATTGGACACTGAAGGTATCGGCCACGAGATCGTTCATCTATCGCCGACATAGGACATGCTTTATTCGTAAAATAAGGCAGGAATTTGCAAGGACATAAGTTGTTATGAAATCAAATTCCGACGTTGTTAAGGCAACGGTTTTACTTATTAGAAATTATGATGAGTATACCGCCGTTGTGAATGCGTGAAATCTAGCAGGCCAGATCGCAAATTATGTCGCGCAAGATCGTAAATTATGGTTTATCATGTCGTTCCTAGGGTAACAAACAAACAAAAACTGTCCAGCATGAAAACTGGCGTCGTGTGCACCGGGCTTAAGATTTGTTTGTGTATTTAAATTTCGTGAAAAATTATTTATTTGAGACAGCAAAAAATCTAAAGTTTAAATAATACCACAAATAAATGAAAATAATGTGTTGTTATTTCTTTTGTTCCAGATCAATTGCTATAAACAACTCAAATTGACCAAAACTCAATTTCAAAACTAGAAATGTGACTACTGCTGAAAAAATCTGAAAATGTCCTCAACAAACAAATCGGAGGTAAGTAAAACATTATTATATAATTATAAAATATAATTCAATATATTAACTGTTTCATAATTACACAATATTATCCTTATATTAAATCTACGATTAACTTACAAGTTATAATAATAATAATCAGGTACACATTTCTATTTCTATTATTAATATTCTAAAACATTTGTAAAGTCCTCTTCCGAATCTCGAACAACTTTAAGCCTATATTATTACTTTTTGCATTATCTGGAACAACACTCGTACACCGATTATTATTTTTTGACTCAAGGAAATTTTCAGTCTCACTATTTGAAGGAGGAGTAATTGACTCATCTGGTTCAACTGAGTTTCCAGACTTTTTATGCTCAACAGAGTTACCAGTTCTTGTTTTCTCATCTGATGCAAAAGATTTTCTAGTCCTAAAATTTGAAAAATAATTTTTTGTGGGTTTAACTGATGCAACAGAGTTATCAGATGATGAATCTGTTGACTCATCATCTGATGACATAGAATATTTTGTCTCGCCAATGTGAAGTGCATCAATTGATTCGTCTGATGAATAAGAATTTGAACTAGACTCATCATCAGTTGACATTGAATGATTATCCTCATCGATGAAGAGTGCATTATCGTCTGAATCATCTGATGCAAAAGATTCAAAGTCAAAATCTTGGAATTTATTTGCTGCCTGGATGGATGTTTTTAGATCATCAGTGGACATTGTCTCTTTAATGTATTTTGAGGATGAGTTTGATGCAAAAGAATTTTTCTGGGAATAATCTGCTGGCTCTGGGAATTTATTTGCATCATTAGTTTGCTCATAAGTCTTGCCAGATTTATTTTGTGCAAACATTGTCTCCGTCTTGTTAGATTCAATATATTTTGAGGCTGAGATAGAACAGGTTGTCTCATCAATGTGAAGGGCATCACTTGACTCATCTGATGCGAAAGAATTTTCCAGTTCCATATCCTGGATGGATGTATTTGCATCTTTAGTTTGCTCATCAGTCTTCTCAGATTTATTTTGTGTTGACCGTATCTCTTTAAATTTTTCAGGTTCAATACCTTTTGAGGATAAAGTTGTCTCATCAATATAAAGTGCATCATTTGACTCATCTGATGCAAAAGAATTTTCCAGTTCCATATCCTGGATGGATGTATTTGCATCATTAGTTTGCTCATCAGTCATCTCAGATTTATTTTGTGTAGACCGGACCTCTTTAAACTTGTCAGCCTCAATATCTTTTGAGGATGAAATGGTCTCATCAATATAAAGTGCATCATTTGACTGGTCTGATGCAAAAGAGTTTTCAAGTTCCATATCCTGGATGAATGTATTTGCATCTTTAGTTTGCTCATCGAATTTAGATTGTGTAGACAATGTCTCTTTACATTTGTTATCATCAATATCTTGAGCTGTATCAGAGAATTGATGAACTTTGACTTTGATTTGATTTGACTCGTCTGATGCAATAGAAACTTCAAAATCAAAATCTTGAGTTTCATTTGGTGACTTGAAGGATGTTTGTGCAATATTAGTTGGTTCAGCGGTCTTGTCTTTAGATGAGTTGGCCTCCAAATCTTGAGTTGCACTTGAATTATTTAATGATGATGTTGTTTCATCAGGTTTCTCAATTATTTGTTGAGCACTTGAGTCATCTGTGGACTTTATCTCATCAGCTTCAGTTTTTTGTGCTGATTTGTTTGTTGTTTCTACTGTCTTTCTATCTGAATCTGTCTTATTACCTTCCTCTGATTTTGTATCTTTCCTAAGAAAATTAAAAATAGACAAATTCTTATAGTCTATACCATCTTTTACTTTTGGAAAAGGTTTTCTGATCTTTTTGGGAGGTCTCACAGCGCCATTCGGCGGTCTACCTTTCCCTCTAATAACGTTTCCATCAGGATCAAATACATTAATGATAATTTTGGGTTTTACAGGATATATGCGAGGTCTACCTGGTGGTCGTTTTACTTTCGTCTCCTTTTGGGTGGATGTAACACCAGTGATTGATTTTTTGTTATGATTAGATTTTTTTGATGTCTTCTTAGGGGCTGATGCAACATTAGTGATTGATTTCTTATTGTGATCAGATTCTTCTGATGCAACATTAGTCACTGGTGTCTTTTTATAATCAGATTTTTCTGACTGAACATCAGTCACTGGTGTCTTATTATGCTTAGATTTTTTTGATGTCTTCTTATGGGCAGATGCAACATTAGTGATTGATTTCTTATTGTGATCAGCTTTTTCTGACTGAACATCAGTCACTGATGTCTTATTATGATCAGATTCTTCTGACTGAACATCAGTGATTGATTTCTTATTGTGATCAGATTCTTCTGATGCAACATCAGTGATTGATTTCTTATTATGATCAGATTCTTCTGACTGATCATCAGTCACTGACGTGTTATTATGATCAGATTCTTCTGACTGAAAATCAGTCACTGGTGTCTCATTATGATCAGATTCTGCCGATGCAACATCAGTGGTTGATTTCTTATTGTGCTCAGCCTTTTCTGACTGAACATCAGTCACTGGTGTCTTATTATGATAAGATTCTTCTGATGCAACATCAGTCACTGGTGTCTTCTTATGATCACATTTTTCTGACTGAACATCAGTCACTGGTGTCTTATTGTGATCAGATTCTTCTGACTGAACATCAATTACTGATGTCTTATTGTGATCAGATTCTTCTGACTGAACATCAGTCACTGATGTCTTATTATGATCAGGTTCTTCTGACTGAACATCAGTCACTGGTATCTTATTGTGATCAAATTTTTCTGATGCAACATGAGTGATTGATTTCTTATTGTGATCAGCTTTTTCTGACTGAACATCAGTCACTGGTGTTTTATTATGATCAGATTCTTCTGACTGAACATCAGTCAATAATGTCTTATTATGATCAGATTCTTCCAACTGAACATCAGTCACTGGTGTCTTATTGTGATAAGATTCTTCTGACTGAACATCAGTCACTGGTGTCTTATTGTGATCAGATTCTTCTGACTGAACATCAGTCACTAGTGTCTTATTATGATAAGATTCTTCTGATGCAACATCAGTCACTGGTGTCTTCTTATGATCACATTTTTCTGATGCAACATCAGTCAATAATGTCTCATTGTGATCAGATTCTTCTGACTGAACATCAGTCACTGGTGTCTTAGTGTGATCAGATTCTTCTGACTGAACATCAGTCCCTGATGTCTTATTATGTTTAGATTCTTCTAATGTCTCATCTGTTTTATCAGTATCTTTTTCTTCGTTCACCAGTGAATCATAAGCTTTGGTAGATAACTCATCCAAATTAAACGATGTATCCATATCATAATTGTTTATATTTTCATCAGTTCCTTGTATAACAGTTTTGTCCATAATATTTGAATCTGATATTGCCTGGTCGCCCATAATTTCAGGAAGATCATCTATAAAGCACAAGTCTTGCAAATAATTGAGAATATCCATAGCTTTTTCATTAGCAGCCTCATCATCTTCAACTGAAGAAGAATTTTCATCTGTATTGTTTTGTGAGTTGTCTTGACTTTTTCCTTCAGATGATACTGCTTGATCCATGTCATCTTGCTTTTTACTATTTTCATGTTGATCCTTTTCCTGAACAGATTTTCTTGTAGTTTTATTTACTGTCGTTTTTTTAGATTCATTTGCTTTTGCCGGTTTTTGACTTTCTGCTTTCATCAAATGTTGTTTGCTTTCCTTATTTTTTATATCATCTTCAATTGCTTTAGCAATTTCAATAGATTTTTTACTCCCTGGTTTCATTGTTTCTACACATTGTTTTTCTGTAGGTGTTAGCTTCTTAATTCTATCTTTCTTCACAGATTTTTTCTTCTGCTCTTTTGTATTAGGTTTCTTTGTTCCTTTGGTAGATTTCTGTTCTTCTATATCAGATATAGGCATCCCAAATACTTGTGCGCTTGACTCATCATTAGATTTTGCTGGTAAACTTGTTTGTACATCAGCCAAAGTGGAATCTTTTGTATCATTGTTATTAATAGATTCTTTATTCTGCTCCTTTGCATTAGGTTTCTTTATCCCTTCGGCTAATTTGTGATCTTTAGTGTCTAATTTAGGCAAGCTAAATTCTTGTGAGCTTGACTCATCATTGGATTTTGCTGTTGAACTTGTGTGTCCATCAGCCAAAGTATTAACAGATTGTTTTTTCTGCAACTCTGTTGTGTCATTGCTATTAACAGATTGTTCCTTCAGCTCATTTGCTATTTGCTTCTTTGTGTTTTCGGTCGCTTTGTGGTCTTCCATGTCTAATATAGGCATGCTAAATCCTGATGAGCATGATTCATCATTAGAGTTTTCTGTTGAACTTGTTTGCCCATTCAGTAAAGGTTCATTGTTAGTAATATTTAGTTTTTCTGAACATTCTAAAGATTTATCAAACCTTGTTATACTGTATAGACATGTAGCGTCCATGGAACTGTTTTGAGATTGTCTTGGCTCACTTAATCTGTTGTCATTGGCAGCAATTTGTTTTGTCTCTTCTTGTATTGTATTGGAATCTTCATTTGAATGTTTTGGGGACTTACCATTATCTTTTAGAATCCGCTCAATCTCTTGTTCAACAAGTTTACAAGCTTCTGTTTTGGTTGCACCATTGTCTGGTACATCTATTACTTCTTTATTTGTTGATTCTGATATTTCAGTTTCTTCAGGACAATCTTTAGTTTTACCTCCTTCAAGTAACTGACTTTCGTCTTTAAAATCATCATCAGACATAGACAGCAATTCTTCCAAAAAGTCCATAATACTCTCTGTTGAATTCAAGGCGTCACCAGGCTGCTCTTGTGTACTACTTCTTGAAGATTTTATTGATGAAATTGATGATTGTGTACTGATTGAATTTGTATCATCCTGAAGATCATTTTTCTTCATCCTTTCATCATCTTCAAATGTTGGTTCAGAAGCTGTAGAAGTTGGTGTGGATGTTAGACAGACGTCCTTCTCTGTTATATTATTTTCTTCATGCTCCTTTAGTGGTTCATCATGATGACCAATATTAATGTTAATTTTGGGAATCAATGACCTTCTAACAACTGTGTTATTAGATACATCAGCAGAAGAACTCTGTGATACATTTTGTTCATAACTTTGGGCATTATTGGTGCAATTTTTGTCTAAATTAATCCTTTTCAAAAGAACCACAGCAACCTTGTCACTTTTGTTGATAGCCTGAGGTTCGTAAGTGGGATGAACTGTATCTAAATTAGCTTTAATCTTTTTACTCAGTGGTTCCAAATCAGATAAATCATGATCATCATCTTCAGCCATCCTCCTCTCTGTTGAATTCAAGGCATCATCAGGCTGCTCTTGTGTACTACTTCTTGAAGATTTTGCTGATGAAATTGATGATTGTGTACTGATTGGATTTAAATTATCTGGAAGATCATTTTTCTTCATCCCCTCATCATCTTCAAATATTGGTTCGGAAGCTGTAGAAGTTGGTGTAGATGTTAGACAGACGTCCTTCTCTGTTATATTATTTTCTTCATGCTCCTTTAGTGGTTCATCGTGATGACCAATATTAATGTTAATTTTGGGAATCAATGACTTTCTAACAACTGTTTTATTAGATCCATCAGCTGAAGAACCCGGTGATACATTTTGTTCACAACCTTGGGCATTATTGGTGCAATATTTGTCTAAATTAATCCTTTTCAAAAGAACCACAGCAACCTTGTTGCAATTGTTGATAGCTTGAAGTTTGTAAGTGGGATGAACTGTATCTGAATTAGCTTTTATCTTTTTACTCAGTGGTTGCAAATCAGATAAATCATAATCATAGTCTTCAGCCATCCTCCTCTCTGTTGAATTCAAGGCATCATCAGGCTGCTCTTGTGTACTACGTCTTGAAGATTTTGCTGATGAAATTGATGATTGTGTACTGATTGAATTTGTATCATCCGTAAGATCATTTTTCTTCACCCCTTCATCATCTTCAAATGTTGGTTCAGAAGCTGTAGAAGTTGGTGTAGATGTTAGACAGACGTCCTTCTCTGTTATATTATTTTCTTCATGCTCCTTTGGTGGTTCATCATGACGACCAATATTAATGTTAATTTTGGGAATCAATGACTTTCTAACAACTGTTTTATTAGCAGCTGGACTACTATTGTTCCTTATACCTTTACCCTTGATATTTTTATCCAGAACTTTCTTTTGGCATATTTTCTCAGTAGGTTTTTCTCCAATTTTGATCAAACCGGGTACAGAATTATATCCATCAGCCGGAGAACTCTGTGATACATTTTGTTCACAACTTTGGGCATTATTGGTGCAATATTTGTCTAAATTAATGCTTTTCAGAAGAACCGCAGCAACCTTGTCACTTTGTTGATAGCTTGAAGTTTGTAAGTGGGATGAACTTTATCTAAATTAGCTTTAATCTTTTTACTCAGTGGTTGCAAATCAGATAAATCATGATCATCGTCTTCAGCCATCCTCCTCTCTGTTGAATTCAAGGCATCACCAGGCTGCTCTTGTGTAATACCTCTTGAAGATTTTACTGATGAAATTGATGATTCTGTACTGATTGGATTTGTATCATCCGGAAGATCATTTTTCTTCATCCCTTCATCATCTTTAAATGTTGGTTCGGAAGCTGTAGAAGTTGGTGTAGATGTTAGACAGACGCCCTTCTCTGTTACATTATTTTCTTCATGCTCCTTTAGTGGTTCATCATGATGACCAATATTAATGTTAATTTTGGGAATCAATGACTTTCTAACAACTGTTTTATTAGCAGTTGGACAACTATTGTTCCTTATACCTTTACCCTTGATATTTTTATCCAGAACTTTATTTTGGCATATTTTTTCAGTAGGTTTTTCTTCAATATTGATCAAACCGGGTACAGAATTAGATTCATCAGCAGTAGAACTGGGTGATACATTTTGTTCACAACCTTGGGCATTATTGGTGCAATATTTGTCTAAATTAATCCCTTTCAAAAGAACCACAGCAACCTTGTCACATTTGTTGATAGCCTGAGGTTTGTAAGTGGGATGAACTTTATCTGAATTAGCTTTAATCTTTTTGCTCAGTGGTTCCAAATCAGATGAATCATAATCATCGTCTTCAACCTTCCTCTTTCTGTTTCTAAAAATACGTTTAACATCTGAGCAAAAACTTCTAATCTTATCTTTCTTTATTTTTATCTTAAATTTTTTTCTTTTTTCTTCCTGTCTCTTTTTATGTAATGCAAGAGTAGCACCATGAAGCGGTTTAGGCCCATCAGGAAAATCCTTTGAATGATATCTCCTCTCGTGCTTCCTTAAATTACCAACGTCTGCAAATTTCTTATTACAAACATCACACGAGTATGGTTTAACACCAGTGTGTATTCTCAGATGTCGTTTTAAGCTACAATTAAATGTGAATGATTGCTTGCAAATATGGCAACGATATGATTTCTTGTTTGTGTGAATAAACATATGTTTTTGTAAGTTATTTGCATCGTTGAATTGTTTGACACACTTTGCATTTTAAATAATCTTCTGCATGGACCATTTTATGCCTATTTAGAAGGTATAAATTTTTGCATACTTTATCACATTCGTCACATGAGTGTACAAGCTTAACTTTCTGGACTGACTTTTTTTTAGTTTTGATTTTTACTTCGGTTTTGCAGTCTTCTGAAAGGGTAATTGATTTTTTGTCATCCGGTGAATCCTGGTTTTCCATAACAATTTCGCAAGCTAAAGTAGCATCCGGGAGAGATTTTGGGTTTCTATATTGGAATTGAAACTGAGTTCCATTTCCATTTCCAATTCCTTTTTCCAATCCATTTTTGAATTGAAACTCGATAGCAGCGAAAATAAAACTTACATTGATTCAATAATCTAGAAGAAAAATTATTGTTTAGTGATTTTAGGATCATGTTTTTAATGTGACGAAGTTTTAAGATTTAAAATTCAAGCTTACAACAAATGATCCCAAAATTAATGATGTTTATTAATTGTTTTATTTGACAAATTTAATATTAATTTCATGAACAAGCTTATATTTTGCACCCGATTTGCTTATTTTATGTTTGTTGACGTTTCAAGTCATTCTGAATCGTTTGACACCGAAATTAAAAAAAAAGTGCAAGCCAAATTTTAACCTCTTGACAATATTTCCTTTATTGCATATAAGTTTATAACTAAAAAGATTTGCTTGTGTTTGATTTGCAAAATGAATATATGTTATAAAATTGATGAATTGCTTACAAATCTTATCAAGGGAGTATTCTAGTGTAGAGGTATAAATTTTAGGTCATTTTTAAATCATCGTTAAAGGAAGGAATCAATTTTTATACTATCATTTTTAACTTCCCGTAGGGTAAGTTATAGTAATTGCATAAAAATCTAGAATGAAAATTTGTATGTCGTTACGTTTCAAAAGTTTCTGAACATTTTGGCATACCTTAGACAAAATTTTGGCAGATAAGATAAGAGTCGAATGCCAAAGATTCGTCATGTCGTCAAAGATTGTGATTGTCGTCGTGGGTATGTGAATAGAGATCTGTCGTTGTATGCGTACCGGCATCAACGTGTATATTAGTACCGATATCAACAAGGAATCGGAATAGAAGAAAAACACTTTGAAGTTACATTGTAGTACAAATCTTGATTTAATGAAAAATGCCTGAATCAGAAGAATATTTTACCCGTTTCCCATAAATAATTATAATGAAAATAATAAAACAAATGCAGCATTTGCGCCATGTATGGAACATAAGTTTATTGAAATAATTCCTTTGTTATTCGTAGTTTCTATAAATCTTTGAAGTTATTGAAATGGAAAATATTTTTAGGCAAAACAGATATTACAGCTGTTCAAAGAATGAGTTCAAATCGCCAGCGAAAAAGTAAAAAAAATACAAGCAGTCAATGAATGTATGTTAATTTTAATTACATGAAGTTTTCAAACACAATTATTACATGATGAGGAAGTTGCGAAAACAATATTTGTTTAGGCGTTGTTTAACATAATCCACTGTGTTGAACGAAGATTATAGAATTATTAACATATTACTTCATTTCTCTAACAAAGGTTCATTTCTAAATGCTAATTACAATGACAAACCGATGATGAGGTCATATTAGAACTTTGACTTTAATTACATTATTGGTTTAAATATTATACATATCATCAAAAAGATGATAGTTAAAAAATTGATTGCCTTTTTTACAATGATTCAAAAATGACCTAAAATTCATGCCTCTACACTAGAGTACTATTGAATCTGCGACAATGTTGAAAAATAAAGAACACTTTTTATATTAACAAGTCTACAATTTTACTGGAGTGACTTACGTAGGAAACATGCATTAACGCTCCCAAACATCATTTATATAAAAACTTTGAAACTTTTCTTCAGATATCTCAAATACTAATTAATCTGGTTCAAGAGGAATGGAGAAGTAGAGTGAATACATAAAATTCCAAATAAAAAATATGAAGAA